AATTACAAAATGGGAAAAATACAATGAAAGAATTTTCACAGAGGAAGATATTCGAATGGCCAACAGACACATGAAGAAATGCTTAAAATTACTGGCAATAAGTGAGATGCAAATCAAAACCATAATGAGATACCATCTCATCCCTGTTGCAGTGCAGGGTTTAGCAAGACAGCAAGTAATAAATGTTGAAGAGGATGTGGTAAGATACGAACTCATATATATTGTTGGTGGGATTGTAAAATGGTACAACTAAAGACAGTTTGGTGCTTCCTCAAAAAACTGAACATAAAAAGTCCATATGACCCAGCCATTTTACTGCTTGGAATATACCCTGACAAAATGAGAATTGAGGCATAAATGGGTATTTGTACACCAATGTTCATAGCAGCATTATTCACCATCGCAGGAACGTGGAAACAACCTACATGTACAACCACAATTGAAAGAATTGAGAAATTATGGTATATTCACATGATGGGGAAATTATGTAGCACACAGGAAAAATGATTTTGTAAATTACTATCTAATTTGTGAGAGACTGGGGAGCATTATGCTGAGTGAACTAACTCAATCCCATAAGGACAAATACTGTATAAGACTATTATGTAGAACAAGGATGAGGATTCAAGTTGGGGGAGGGTAGGATCAGAGGGCTGAGAATGGGGGCATTGATCATAGGGTCACACAATTTGATGGGTGGTGGGGTGGTGGTGAAGGAAATGGGAAAGATCCAGTGTGAAAAACAATGTATACAAATTTTGTAAATAAACCAGAATTTAAAAAAAAAAAAAAAGAATGGTTACCCATGATGGACAGTATTTGGTGGAGCTCCCCGATTAAAACAAGCTTGGAAGCAGGAGTGGCATCCACTTCCACAATAGCTTGCCTCTGGAGACCCTATGAACATGGAGAAAGGACAAAAATTATACAGGTGTCCAGGGCTTTCGTTCATAAGGTTACTATGAGTCGCCAGCGACTCAGTGGCACTTAACAACAACAATACAAAAAAAAAAAAAAAGAAGTAAAACTGTATTGATTAGGGATATATCTCTCCACTAAGTGTTCCCTTTCCCTACAAAGAGAAGAAACATCAGTCTGAGCCCACATTTCCCTATATCCTGTGTAATTCTCATCTGATGTAGTAATACCAGTTCATGAGGATAGACCGATGCTCCAGAAGGCCCTTCTGCTCTTAATGAAATATAGTTTCATTACACTCTGCTCTGGACCCAAGCCAGCCCAGGATGTAAGAACAGGCTGACAGCCGCTCTGGTGTGATGCATATCCAACTCTACCTATTGATGGTAATCTGCGACTCACATCTTTCTGGAGGCGCACTGGGGGCTCTTACTGCATCCTGAAGGAACAACTTTAATTTTTTTTTTTTCAAATTTAGATTTTTAAAAACAGAAAATGTGAGAAGTATTTAAAAAGCCAATTAGTCCATTTGTACAGGGGTAACACACTGTATTAAATATATAAGGTCTTATCTACATAGGTTTTTGTTTTTTGGTTTTTTCCCTATAATTATATTTTATTAATTTTCATGAACATTTACAGAGATTTTGGGTTTCCATTCATTCATTGTTGCACCATTCTCTCTACCCTCCTCCCAGTTTGTTCTTGTCCAAATGCCACAGTGCTTGTCAAAGCCAGTTCTGATTAATCTTCTTTGTCAGTGTGTTCTTTGCCATTCCCTATCACTCCTCCCTGAGAGAGACTTCACCCTGAGTCATAAGGAAAAGGGGATGGCGTATTCTCTTAGCTACTTCCTGCTGAAAAGGGACGCTGTGGGTTTCACTACTCTAAAGGGCCCCTTTGGCAGTAGGAAACACATAGACTATTATGGAGATTGATTTTGGAATTTAGATGCACTCTTATTGATTGTGCTTGGCCGTACATGTTCATATCCTTGAAGATGTATCATGGGGGTGTTGCAACCTAGAAGACACAAATTTGACTAACAAGTTATAAGTACATGAGTCCAAAAATTATGGAAAAGTAAAAGAAAAGATTCTTTCATTGTTTTACAAACCCTCCCCCAGGTCCCCTCCACCATGTAGCCCTCGCTCTAGTCTCCTGTGATGACAGAAATACCTAGTTATATATCTCTTTTAAACAGTTTTCTCCCTCCTCTGTTTCAGTGCAGTATACATTATTGAACCCATCTTACTCAGTCTCTCCCCAACCCCAAGGACAGTCCCATTCTACAACAGTGGCATCATGTAATATTTGTCCTTTTGTGACTGGGATATTTCACTCAGCATAATGTTCTCCAGAGTCAACCATTTTGAATAATATTGCATGAGTTCCTTGTTTTTTAATGCAGCATAGTATTCCATTGTGCAAATATACCACAGCTTCTCTAGCCATTCGTTTGTTGATGGGCACTTAGGTTGTTTCCAACTCCTTGCTATTGTGAACAAAGCTGCAATAAACATGGGTGTGCATATATCTGCTTGGATGTCAGCTATGGTCTCTTCAGGGTATATTCCCAGTAGTGGAATTGCTGGGTCAAATGGTATCTCTCTTTGCAACTTTTTGAGAAAGCGCCATACTGCTTTCCACAGGGGTTGCACCATTTTACACTCCCACCAACAGTGAATCAGGGTTCCAGTTTCTCCACAACCTCGCCAGCATTTGTTGCTTGCTGTTCGGTTCGATTTTGCTATTTTGACTGGGGTGAAATGATATCTCATAGTTGTTTTAATTTACATCTCTCTTAGGGCTAGGGATTTTGAGCATTTCTTCATGTGTTTGTTAGCCATCTGAATGTCGTCTTCGGTGAAGTGCCTGTTCATATCCTGTGCCCATTTTTCTATTGGATTATTTAATCCTGTGCCCATTTTTCTATTGGATTATTTACCTTTATCTTGTTGTGATGCTCAAGTATTTCATAAATTCTGGATATAAGTCCCTTACCTGATATGTTATTACCGAATACTTTTTCCCAGTCAGTGGCTTCCCTTTTTACCCTACTGGAGAAGTTTTTGGATGTGCATAGGGATTTGAGTCTTAGAAGATCCCATTCATCTATGTTGTCTTCTCCTGGTTGTAGGTTATCTACATAGGTTTGATTACAGAAACAAAGTATTCTTTTTTAAAAAATAAAAAGTCAGGCAATTTTGTTCTCACTAGCCTCAGCCCTGTGATTTTAGTACTCTCTCGTGCACTCTCTGTCTCTCTCTCTGTCTCACACACACACACACACACATATATATATATGAACACACACTTTAACCCTCTTAGGTTACCACTTTAGAGGGGAGTGGGGCAGTCAGTTACTTTCTTTACTTCAATACAAGGAAATAAGAATACGCCCCTTATGCCACATGAAAATGTTGCACCACTGGTCTTGCACCTTTTCTTCTCACTGAAAATAGTGTTTCCACTATTCCATAGCTCTTTCCTTTTAGTTCATAGAGACTGTAAACACTGTTGATTAGACAGTTGTGTCCTGTGCCTTACTCTAGACTTGTGAGATAGAGCTGACGTGTAGCCCACTGATCCTCATGCAGCCACAGGAGGTAGACCTTTTCTCATCTTCGTTCTTCAGGTGAAGAGCCTGGGTACAGAACAGCTAAGTAGCAATTACGAAACCATAAAGCTGGTCCTTGGCATCCTGGATTCTTGATGCTCTGGCCATGATAGCTCCCAACCCCCACATTAGAGTTTGGTGAGTGAAGAGTAGAATCCATTGATATCATGTGCAGCCATCTCTCTGCTCACCATTTCTGATGTGAGTATTCATTTCTGGGCCTTTGTTATCAGCTTTAATGAGTGAGTCTCAGACACAGGATCTTCATGATGGCTTTTCAGGTCACTCCTTGCTGGCAAGGAGATACAAAATTTTGAGATACAAAATGCCTACAGTATGTTTAATTGTCACTACAGTTCAAGCTAGAAATAGGTAAGAGGGATGACTAATGAATGCTATCCTCCAGGCTACAGGTTTGCCTGAAGCAGGACATGGTCTCAGATTGAAGCTCTGATTGACCTAGAAATTCAGCAACTTTTTGTTTCCATCTGATGAGAGGAGCCTGAGGAAGCCAGAGCTCAGTAACATTCTGTAGAGAGCATGTGTGTTTGGTGCCATCTCACCTGTAGAGGTCAGTCTACGTTCAGCTCCATTTCAGAAGGGACTTCAGCAGGCCCTGAGTGTAGGATTAGGCTCCTTTGTCCTAGTCATTCCCCTTGTTTTCCTAGAGTATGCTGGTAGTAGTCCTGGAAGGAGTGGGTGTGTATGCTCAGCATTCTGCTATTATCTCTGCAGGTGGAAAAGGAAGTGGCATATTTGGTGAGTCTACGCCTGTCCAGACCCGACAGCGTCTGAACCCACCTGGTGGGAAAACCAGCAACATTTTTGGGTCCCCCGTTGTTTCCACATCACCGTCAGCACATCCAAACAAGCCCAAGGTATGGCCTACACTTGGATGGCCCATGCAAAAGGAAATCACATTGCAAAACCATGCTTGGTGTGGGTGTGGCCGGTATTGTCTGCAGCAAACTGGGGAACAGTCATCCTTAGTCACTTTAAGTCTTGAATCTCCCCTGAGTCACTCTAGATGGAGATCCCAGCCAGGGCTGGTCTCCTAGCATGTGAGTGGGCAGGCTATGGACTCTTCATTGTACCTTATAAAACTCCTGATTGCCGTTTCATTTCAGAAAAGAGCAGTGGTATCTCTGGGTGTGCTCCTGCCCACACATGAGGTCTAGGTACTGGGACACACCAGGGACTTAGCGACAGCATGACCTGTGTACAGCACCAGGAAGGCCATAGCGTTTATGCTAGTATCTTCCCCTCAACTTGGAGGTGATTGTGAAACAGAAAGGTGCCAAATCATTGTGACAATAAACTATGGGAGAAAGCCATAATATTTTCAGTCACCTTGTATGCCTTTGGAGGCAACAGTCAGATTTCCATGCCATCCCTGAAGCAGGCTCAGTTGTTTCCGGGAAACACTTGGAATTCATTCCAGGTGGCTTTTCTTCACCTTGTGTTATTGCTAACTGACAGAGACTTCCACCCATGTTGTCCTTTTTCCAGAAGCGTGCCTTGGAAACAAAGCAGACAGGCAGGACTCGGGTAAAAAGATTGAATCCAAAGGCCAGAAGAGGAGAGGTGGGAGGTAATGATGAAAAGCAGGCATGTGGCTAAGGAGGCAGAACCAGCTTGAGGCTGAACTGGAATGAAGGCTCCATTAGGGAGTTCCTTGACTGCCAGAACCTGTCCCACCCCTATCAGTAGTTCTTTGCAGGTTTGAAGGTTGGAATTTGCTGCAGCAGGACCTTGATAGAACTTAGTAATTATCAAGAGTTCTCTCTGCCTAGTTATTAGCTTTCACCCTTTCTGGTCAAGAAACAGTTTCCTAGAGCAACATGCTCTTTTGCTTCAGGGTGTCTGAAGTCTCTGTTGATTAACACCCCAGATATCACATATGTCAGAGCTGGAATAGAAACGTTCAAGGAACTGAAGAAGAAAGAGACCAGTGGAAAGAGGGTACTCCCCATCAGCTCATTAAACTATATTACAGTGACATCTCTACCTCAATTTCAGAACCAAACAGGAGCCTCTGGGTACCGCACTTCTTCTGAGATACCACAAAGTAGGAATAACCAAGAGTCCATGCCACTTTTCCTGCCTTGTCAAGAGACAGAGCCCCTTAGCAACTGACACCATGGTCAGAGTAACACAAAATATAAGCATTACATGATGGTGAACAGGAAATCCTGCAGCGCAAAAACACTTGAGAGACAAGTCAAACCACTGCAGCACACTGATCTTGTTAGGACCTTGGTGACAATAAACTGGACTATGAGAGACAGCGATGATATTTTCAGTCACCTTTATATAGTGAATAAGATGACAGAAGAAGAATCAATGTTTTTAAATCATGGAGTGGGCAAAGAATCTTGACAATACCCTGGACTGCCAAAAGAAGGAACAAATCTATAAAATGTACAACTAGAGTGCTAGAGGGATGATGAGGTTTTTGTCTTAACATATTTTGGGCATGCTATCACAAGGGTCCAGTCCCTGGAGAAGACATCATGTTTGGAAAAGTAGCAGGATAACTGAAAAAGAAAATTACTTTTAGATGGATTAACATAGTGCTGCAACACTGGACTCAAATAACTGTGAGTATGGATCAGGACTGGACAGTGTTTTGTACAAAGGATGACTAAGAGTCAGAATTCACTCATCAGCACCTAACAACCAATATAAGAGATGAGCAAGATTATTTAGGAAGTTTGAACACTGACTGGGAGCTTGCAAGTCAGAGAATTGCTTGCTGGTGTTCATGGTTTTGAGAGAGTTAATTAAGAGTCACATCTTGAAACATTTTTGGATGTAGTGAAATCTTATGGATGTAACTTCGCAGATGTAGGGAGTGGGGACCAACCTGGGGAAGAGTCTGGCTGAGACAGGATACCCATATGATGGTTTTATAAATGAATGACAGGTTACAAGGGCATTCCTCTATTGAAGGAGAAAAACATTTACATAATACAGTTGCTTTTAGAAATAAAAATTAAACCATTCACACACACACAAAAAGAATTAAACCATTCATCAGGGTGAGACGTCCCTGGTTGCACACTGATGCAATTGTTTGCTCATTGCAGGACCATGTTTTGTTACGTGAAGGAGAAGACCCCAAACTAGACCTTCCAGGTGAGGCTGTTTCCTATCCCTTCACCCCTGCCCTGCTTTCCAACTCGTCCTGTGTGCTCTGTAAGCTGAAAGCACACAGCCCTCTGTCCCTTGCAGACCATTGACCAGAGCCAACTGCCATGAACTGCTACTGGGATTGAATGTCTATGGACTTCAGGAAGACAGGCTTCACTATTTCCGAGAAACATTGAGAATTGACCTAGGTGGCTTTGCGTTAGCTCAAGTTGTTGCTTTAACAATCAAGGCTTTTACCCAAGTATCCTTTCCCTAAAAGCTGACTTTAGTGAAATGGCAGGACTCAGAGCAGAAGGGACAAGCCTAAAGACAAGGTAAGAGATAGTGTTGGAAGCTATGATTTAGGAGACAGATTCACCAGTTCCAGGGCTAGAAGTCCAAGTCCAAACATGTGACTCTGAGCTAACTGTGATACTCAGTGTTGCTGTCTCTGTATATAGTAGGCCAGGCCATGTATTTATAGAAAAGAAGAGTCTATTAATTCTTCCCTAAAAGTGTTCTTTCTTTTTTTTTTTTTCTTATTTGTGTGTACCGTCAAATCAGATATGACTGGTACAGGAGGAGATTGTCCCTCATTTTCCGGCAGAGCATCTGGTGGATTCAAACCGTGCGCCTCTGGGATTGTAGTGTAGCTTCTTGCCACTAGGCTACCAGAGCTCCCCAAAAGTGTTCATTCTTGATATCAAAAAGTCTGCCTTCCTGGTTCAGATCCACTCCATCTCCTGCTCGTGCTCACTCTGAGGAAGCTTTCTGATGACACTTAAGGTGGGAGAATCAGCGAAGACGGTGGACAAGAACACAGTCATTAAAGAATGATAGATCAGATTGGGGAGTGGTTACAGTTTAAGAATGAAGTTAATCCTAGTAGAGGAGAAGGATGGACGGTCTCCTTCATATGATTAACTGCCTCCAAAATCCTGCTGGAGGGACAGCTATGGGTTGATTCTGGCTCTGTGGTACACAGAAACACGACAACATGGGTGGATCAGGGTGTTTATAGTACCAATCCATTTCAGCCTGGAACAAGCCTACATCTAACAGAGAGTCTTTTTATCACAATTTGACATTCGCTTTGTCTTCCTTCCCCCCATTACTAGGTGAATTTTTTTTTTTGCAGGCTCCTTTGCATAACCTGGGTTCAGAGTCTTAGACAGCCTTTAACAGGTGATGTTATAATTTGTTCCACAGCCACGGCAAGCAGCCCCTCGCGAGAAGGACTGGGGGAGAAAGGTGATAAGAGAGAATCTGAACCCACCAAGCAGCAGGAGCCCATGACCAAGGTTGACAGCCACGAGCCTCGCTTGGGGCCAAGGCCTCGCTCTCACAACAAAGTCCTGAACCCCCCCTGGAGGCAAGTCTAGCATCTCCTTCTACTGAGAGTCTGAAGCATCCCTAGTAGCCACACAGAAAACTCACAAGAGCATCCCATACTGTAGTTCCTTTAGTCTGCAAGAGCAGGGGTGGTGGGAGGGTGAAGCTGGCTGAACAAGAGATCTGCTGCTATCACAGATTATCTGCCACCTAGCCCCCAAGACACCCAGAGCTGAAGGGAGCTCCAGGGTGGGAGCGGGGAGATGGTGCGGGCCAAAGTGAGGCTTGAGGCCCAGGCATCTCTGTGCCCTTGGAGCCTAACCTTCAGGCTCTAAGCATCTGGAAGTGATTTGAAACAGAAGTAGAGCTTGTAACAATGGAAAGAAGACCCAAAGCCACCCACCCTTTGCAGTGAGCTCATGAAGACCTAAGCAGAAATAACCAACATGGATAGGACAGCTCTACATATTAGATGATGGCACCAGCCACCCTTCATAAAAATTATCCCATACAGGCATGTGCCACCACTACACCAAGTGCCACCTTCACTTTTATCCCCACATCCTGCTCTCCATCTTTCTGTTAAAAGCACCTGGATGGCACCTCCTCAACATCTTCCAGCCAGAACCAAAAAGGAACATCTGAAGTGTTTCAAGCCAGCTTCTGATATCCTCATCTTCTCAGTCTTAGACTTTCTGGAAGATCCTTGTCCCCTAATCCTTGGAAGAACCCTATCTCTGCTGTCACAGACCTCAGCTTTGCGCTCCATAGGAATCTGCCTTGCCTTCACCAGGGAGTGGTTTTTGATCTCTTCATGCAACAGTTCCACTTGCCCATGGTTCTGTTTTTTTCTCACCACCTTTAAGTCTGGTTCTAGTTTTCACCCCCACAGGCCACTCTTCTTCCTGGATAGGAGGCCCCTGAGCACTAAAGGCCTTTTAGTCTGTTCATGCCTTCCAGGTAATGGAGTTGTTTACATTGCTTATACTTCATACCTTGATCCTGTAATTGGTTGGTAGGACGGAGAAATGTATGAGTGTTCCTTAGTTTTAATTAATTTAACACTTCAAGTCCTATTTCTAAACACCAGCTTCAATGACTATTGACTCACCTATTTTGACACCTTTTTAAAAGAAAATAAAAGTCACTCAGGTACACCAAAGAGGAAGACATGTTCCTTAGGCCACACTTTTAAAGCTTTGCAGACCTCAGAGGCAGATTCACAGCACAACCTCCTAGAAGAGAATGACATTGAGTCATTCAGCAACAAAGTCACAGCTGATCCATGGTATTTGCCAGCAAAGGAAATGGGTTGGCACGAATCTAGTCCCTTCCACTTCAGGCCAGCATGTCTTCTGGGCAGCTCCTGAATGGCTACAACCTTGAGTCCTGCCCTCTCTTGAATTGAACCATCTTGTTAGCAGGATGGTTCTGGTGGAGGTAGCCATTGGTATGAATGAGCTCTGAGAAAGCCGGCATCAGGAGCTAGAAACATACCTGCCTTTTTTGAAGCTAGTGAAACATTCTTGGTACTTAACTACCCTCCTGGCCTTGCTGTCCCCGTGCCCGTGGGTTGTCATTGTCAACACCTTCCCACTTGTGGGGAGTGGTAAGGGTGCAGTTGGCATCACCAACCAAAGATGCGCTTCCCTTTTGTCACGGGAACATTTCCTTCTCATAAATCTCCTCCACTATCTGTCTCTAACCTACAAATAGTATGCATTTCAAAGTCCTTAACAATAAAGTCGTTGGAATCCAGAGAGGTTTTATCCCCATTAAAAGAAAAAACAGTGCCATAAATGGTGGCTCACTTTAGGTTTAGTATTCGGACATGTTTAACTTGTAATCTGACTGAAATATTCTAATGTTGGGAAGGAACTACCATTTATAGCAGTGATGGAGAGAGGGAGGAAAAGATTTTGTAATCTCCAAATGACATTGCCAAGAAGTCTGATGTTGTAGCATGGCCCTCATTTTTCTTCCCCCACCTGCTGCCAGCCAACCAGAGGAAAGCTCTTCTAGTCCTTTGCCCCAGCTGGGAGCTCTGTAGCAGCAAAGGGGGAAACTGAGATGCGGAGGGAGGCTGTGGGAAATGAGGAAAATAGAAGCTATTGCAGAATTTCCTTGGGGACAGTATTAGACACAACTTCCCATCTTCCTTTTCTGCCCATTACTACCCCAGGCTGTGGATGGGAGTGTGAGGTGCCTAAGTTGTCTGTCCCCAAGGAAACTGCGCCTTCTGGGCTTTTGTGTGTGTGTGTCTGGAAGATGATCTTTGTGATAGAGATTGCCTGTACTTGAAAGATTTTGAGACTCAGCATCCTGTTCCCACTGTGCTGAAAACCTACTAGTCTGTACTTTTCTTAAGCCTTACGTGCATTAGGTGCTAACATTTTTCTAAAGCTGTATGACATGCCTAGCCTCACATCTCTGTAATTTTGATAGAACCTTTTTGTTACCTTTAGGAAACAGACTGGGTATAACAGGTGAATTAAACCTAACAATCATGGACTCAGACTCCTTGTCTGTCTGTTTGTGTGTTGTAGCATTTACAAAAGTTAATAAAGGTCGTTTATTCCATCATGCTATATGTTGTTAAGTGCCACTGAGTCAAGCACGACTCAGTGACCCTATGAATAAAAGCCCTGAACCCTGTTCTATGATTATTGTCATTTGTCTAAGTTCATAGTTTCCAAAAGCATGTTGTTTAGGAAGTGGGTGCCACTCCTGTTTCTAAGCCTGTCTTAATCTGGGAGCTCCACCAAACACTGTCCACCATGGGTTACCATTATGGTATTTGACACACCAGTGGCACAGCGTTCAGCATCACAACAACTCCGAAGTTACCTCAGTACAGCAAATTGACAGACCAATGCTGTACCCCTGAGAAGAATGTTCATTCCAAACACAGTTAACACCACAGCCCAAAGACCCAACAAATTTTTAAATACACAGGCCCTCCCAATCTGATTGGCTCTAAACAGGAAGCTTCCAGCCCATACCTCCTTGTTGGCCTAATCCAGTCAGCTCACACAGGGTTGCGAACTAAATAAAAACTATCAAACAGTCCACACCTGACTCAACTGAAAACAAGAAAAACCCACCTTCCAGAATCCAATGGGAGAATCAGGACAAGCCGCCAAAGCAGCTAATCTGAAGACTCCTCTTGGGGCTGCATTTACAGAGTAATACAAGTTACCATATTGGAAGTTCTGTTTACATCTAGGTGCTAAAGGGGTGTGCGTACATTTGTTTCATGGCTTTTTAGAAACATTTTTATATGGGTACCAAGCCTATGTTTACATCTTAACAGACACAGGAAAGGGGATATGCGCAATAGGTGTTAACTAAAGGGAAACAGATCAAGTAAATTTGTTTAGCCAGGTTAATGTGTGATTAAACATTAAGCTTAATGTACCTTTGTTCTTGGGAGTTACTTGGCTTTTAAAATGCTAATACTGTACCTGAATTTCAGAACCATCTCAGGAACAGGTTTGAGGCTTTGAACACTAATGAGCGAAGGCCAGATGAGTTGTGGGAGGATATCAAGGGTATGATCCAGGAAGAGTGCAAACGGTCATTGCAAAGACAGAGGAAGAAAAGACCAAAAT